AAAAGTTCAAATCTAAAATTTTGTTTTCTTTAGCAGTTTACATGATAATAACAGTGGCAAGTGTAATGTAATAGTGATGTAGGAATGTTTTACATCTGTAAGCTACTTTAATTAAAGTAATAAAATCCCCTCCATAACCAAGTTTTAGATGTTGCCATACTCTGAAAAGAGCAAAAAAGAATAAATTCTAAAACAGTACTTTACTTTTAATGTCAATATGCCTATTTCAGCCTGATGTTCTAACATACCACAGAAAAGGCGTAAGTGCTAGCGGTTACTGGCTTATTTCATCACTCCAGTATTCACTCAACAGGCTTAGTCTTACAAAAATGCAATTAATATTCAATCAAACCAAGTCTTCAGTTACTTGATAGTTAAAGAAAAAAAAGAAACATGCAAAATAAATACACAAACTGAAGTTCCACACTGACTACAGCTGTTCTGATCTACTACTGGACTACACATAGGATTTTTATGGTTCCCGATAAGTACTCCTTACAGGGCTAAGCAGGTGAAAAGTAAATTTCATTCAAATGAGTTGCTATTTCAGTAGCAGTTCAGTTATTGAATTTTTTCTCCCCCTTACCCAAGCATTTGTAATTAGATCCGAACAAGCTTATTCTAACTACATTATTTCACATTCACGTAGACACACGCAGTGCATTTGTGACCTTAAGCAAGGTAAGCAACGAAGCATACAGTACCATGAGAACACCAAAGGACCACCAGTCAGCACTCTGGTTGTGCCCTCGCCTGTTTACTACTTCAGGTGCCATGTATTCTACAGTACCACAGAAAGAATAGGCCTTCTTCTCTTGATCTACTGATTCTTTGCTGAGTCCAAAGTCTACAACAACAGCATTACAAGAACATAGCCAGTAAAGAACTTTAGAAAAAAAAAAACAATACTGTATACAGTATTTCAAAATCCAAGTGTTGACAGCTTTTGTTTGTTTGCTTTCAGGAATAGTATGTGATTACCCTAGCTCTTCATGAAACAAGAAACTGTAGATATCTAAACATACTGCAGACATTCAATTTACTACATACCACCAGAACCATTCTATAAGTCACATTAAATTGATGATATTACTACTCAAAATAAGTCAGTATTTGAAATATTACACATTTAGAGCATTAAGATAATCAAAAGTTCTCATTTTCTCTGTTTCCTGTCTGCTTTATTCACACAAAAAATTGGATAGAAGTAAAAATTGAATTTCAAAGAGAACAGAGTCTGCATGGTCTACTATTATTGAATGATGAATAAATAAAATCAGACTAAAAATATTGGTATGTAAGACAACATGGTTTTGCAACCGGACTCAAATTCAGTAAAGAAGAGTCTTGCATACGTGTTCACTTTATTCACAGAATACTTTTTTTCCCTAGTTTGAACAATGCCATTGAATACACATTGAATACAAGTCTTTGATACTAGTCCAGCTCTCAAGACAAGGCTCTCATGCATCCCTCTTTTCAAAGGGGAAATGATTGCTAATCAATAATCCCATCAATTATCCTTTCCAGTTTCAGGAGGAAGTGAGAATTTTAGGATTGAACTGGATTTAAATATATGATACAGAATTTAAAAGATTATGCATTTTATAAATATGATTTCCATCACTATTGTTCCATCAAATATTTGAGAGTTTGAAAAAACTTCATTTTCTCTTGGAATCTAATAGCAGTATCTATAGATCAAAACACATGATGAAGTTTAAAATACAAAAGCATCACCTTAAAAATAATTTAAAGCTCTCAGAAATTCATAGTAATTTGGTTTCCAAGTAGTCAGTCCTTGGTATATATAATTTCCTAGAATATATGTATTTTGATTGTTCCTCATAGAACACTTTTCTGCAATTTTATATGCATTTAAAAGTGATAATCCAGAAATGCAACAAAAAGTAATATTTTAGAAGTCTTATTGTCCACTAAAATTGTTTTACATCAAAAGCACCTCTGCTCCCTTTTAAAAGTCTCAGTCAGCAACTTTAGCCTGTGTCTATAGCCTCTTGATCTTCAGTTAAAATGCATTTCACAGTAAATCTTGATACAGCTCACTTTCTAGCCTGAACAGTGGACAGTTTTACTAACATACCACCACCTGAACTAAAGCTCTTTTTAAAAAAAACCACAAAACAAAACACAAAAACACATTCAACGTCTGGTTTTGTATTTTCAACTACACTTCTTCTATTTTAACCATAGCAACTAGGATCTGCCTTTTACAGCAATATTGCTGCTAACACTGCAACTTGATCTATGCAAATTTTAGCCAACATGAAAGCTAACTTCAGTGGAACCTGCATGGGCAGCAGGATCTGGTGAATGACCAAAACCACCGGATACAGTTTCAATCTAAAATACTTCAATAAAAGTACTTAATACTATATAAAGATTCATTATATAGGGAAGGGATACAGATTTTTTATAAAAAGTCTTTCCAATAAAAAAATTGTCTAAACAGCTGGTTCACACATACTCCAGCCATCACTATTCATATTTTAGGCTTATAACCAAAAGCTTATACAGAAATACGTTCAGAAAGTGGTATACTAATAAGTGTTACCCACCTGTTAACTTGATATGTCCTGCTTCATCAAGCAAAATGCTGAAAATTAAAATTCACATTCACCAATACACATAAAGAAGAATGTTTATATATAACATTTTAAATATAAGTTAACATTTTTGATGCCCAATTTCTGCTATTAACAAGCCAATATTATTTCAATTAAATCATAGATTTATTTTTTTACATTTTACATTTGTTTACATAGTCTAACAAAAATATTTATTTATTTTTTTTACATCATTATAGTGGAAAATGCAAAGCAACAAGCAAAATACACATAATAGTGGTAAAATACATTTTACTTTACTTTTCTGGCTTCAGGTCCCTGTATACAATTCCCAAGCTGTGAAGGTGATCCAAAGCAAGGGCCAGTTCTGCGAGGTAGAATTTCACATCTTCCTCTGTAAACATAACCTAATAAGAACTGTATAGATTTACCTTCTGATCTTGTCTTCAGTTTTTAAAACTGCAATCTAAAAAAAATAGTCCTGTCTGCCTAAATTTCAGAATAAGTTTTAGAAGTACCTTACGAACTCATAATTCATGAATTCAGCTAACAGAAATGATGTACTAGTATAGGCTAATCATCAAGTATACAAAAGAACTACCTGCAATGCTTATGTTTTTGTTTAAGTAGTTACTGCAGAGCATTAGCTAACTCAATAAATTTAACTGTTATATTTGGTGTTATTGACCGCCAGCACTCCTTCTGCCACAATTCTGTACAGACTGTTTTCCACTGCATCATAAAATTTAGTATACAACTGCTGTTTTTCGTGACTGTCTCTGTGAATTCACATTAACAATATTTAGTAAAAAATAAAGTAGAAATAATTTAGAGAAAAGTATGAAAAATAAAACACTCTGGTGAAAATAACAGTGATGTGAAAGTCTGCAGTAGGAGTTAAAAAACCTTCTGCTCTTCTTAGAAAAAAAAATTTTGAAGAACCCTAGTGAGATACTGAAAAACTGACTGCCATTGCACACAGAGCATTTGAGAGATGCATTTTTATCCTAAATACTCAATAGGTTGCTTCTAATTTCATGGACAAGAATCGTACCTGCTTTGGCTCTTGTCATGTTCTACAAATTACTTGAGAAGCTAGCAATCTTTAAATTACTGGAATTGAATTTGAGGTTTAAGTGAACTATTCCCTCATTCATAGAAAACACCAGGAACAAGGAGAACAGCCATCTCAACTGCACAGTAGATAGCTAACAAGGCTTAAATTAAGGTAACTGGGCTTACCGATTTAGTAGTACACTGATCTGTACTTTGAATTGCACATACATAATTTGTTCTACTAGCAACAGAAATATTCCTAATTTCCATAATGATAGGTATTAACATTGTATGAACAATAAAGCTGTTACGCTACACAAAGTTTCACTTTGATTTTTTAAAGAGCAATGTTGATACTGTTTTTCATCTATATCCAAAAGAGCAAGCGGAAACTTCGGATATTATTACTCTGTGGAGTAGCCAAAATGCAAATTTCAGAATACAATGATGCTAAATGGTAATCTACAATCTTCCAATAATAATTTCATTTAAAACTGCTTTCTGTGTCAAATTAAACACAATGCAAGTCAACTTCATTAACTGTTACCAGTGAAAACTTCATTATAGACTCATTTCGCTTCCACAGCTGAAACTCTCATACCCAAATTAGAATTTAAAGGCCAACAAAAGTGTTTTAATAACCTCATACTAAACCAAATTAATTTAAAATAATCCTTGTGTGGCAAGCATGAAATGCCACGGGGAATTTACCCTCATGTCTATTGTCCACTGTCTTTGTTTTACCACATACTTTTGAAAATACTTTGTCTTCCCAACAGAAAATAAAAAGACCTGATTTTTTTTTTCTTATCTATATACACAGTAAGTGTTTAAAAGTCATCACAGAAGGTAACTAAGTCTTCCAAAAAACATGTAGAGACTTAACAGCAAGAGAACTCGACAATTATTACTTCTTTATTCCCAAAGGGAATACATACCTCTTTCAAGCACCTAGCTAGTATTACTACGGATAGACTTGTATCTCTTATTTAAGAATGCTGCATACTTGGTAATCCCAGCTGTGTTAGTGCAAAAGAGCAGTTCTTCCTGCTATACCACAGTTTCCTCTATAATTAGACATCCTATATCAAAGCGGAGATTGACCTCTTTCCTACCTACTGCTCCAACAACTCTTTACAAGTCAGTTGGTTTGTTTTAGCTTTTAACCTCCATTTTACCCTCAAGGTTAATTAATTTTGAGCACAATTCTTGGACATGATGACTGTTTTACCAAGTTCAGCTTTTCTTTTTTTACATAAAGAAAAAAAAAAAGCCCCTTTAAATTCTTTCTTCTCTTGTGCCTGTTCCAAAAGTAAAGTTCTATTTTACAAGAGGTATATGGGGGAAAAAACTAGTTTATGGCTTTACATAGTGGGGATCAACCACCTCCTTCATGTCATTAAAAAAAAAATCAGATACTCAGTTTTTTCATTTAAGAAAGTGGCTTTTCATAAGCAATACAAAAGTCTTTACACTGGTGAAAACACTGAAAAGCTCTCTTACTATGAAGTTGTTGAGAAATTGCCATTAAAAATTTAGATCTTTATGAAAGGTTTGCAGAAAGAAAATAAGTCTTATAAATATGTTCATAATACTAAGGTAACATATAACAAATATTTGATAACAAATTTAAAAAAAAAAAAAAAAGGCTGCATCATATTACCTCCTCTGAAGCTCTCTCTCCAGAAAACAAAAATAGAAATGACAAATTAAAGGTCCAGTTGTATGCCAATGTTAGATGAAGGGAAGCGGTCTCAAAAATACTCAGTGTTCACACTTTGTGACATTAAGCATTAGGATTTGTATTGCAGCATTATGAAATTTTACAATGCAGCTGAAATCTCTTACAGATGCGGGCTTCCAGGAGCACCTAAGCTGACGATAAGCAAGAGAACTATACGTTCCCTTTCTTCATTGCTAAATCTTAATTTACTTCAGTTAGGTTTCCAAGCAACAAAACATTTTTAGACAAAAGAACTGTACTTTGCAGATACCAAATTAAAACTTAGGCTTCTAATCAATACACACTCATGTTTCTTAAGGTTATAGAATATATTCTACAATATGTAAGGGAAGCCCAACTAAGTTATTAAAAACTTGACTATGACAAGAAATATGGAGGGAAACAGCAACAGCAGACAATCCTCTACTGACAAAAAAAAAAAAACACCCACAAAAAACCCAAACCCTGTCTAACACTGAGCGGAGATAAAATTTTAGGTACTTACCTCTTTGGATAATCGTGTGAACACATCTCCTCCCCTGAGAAAATCCAATATTAAATATAGCTTCCCTTCAGTCTGAAAGGCTTAACAAAAAAATAATAATAAAAAAATCAATAGTGTGACAAAGATGATCTACAAAACAGATCCGAATGCTTTTACAACTTGGAAATTTCAGTGAAAGGCGATACTTTTGTTATGAAACTGAAGTAATTCAGTAGCACATGAGGCAATTTATTGAATGGTTACTTGCTTCTTCACAGAAGACAATCATAGTCATAAGAGATCATTAAAATATTTTCTTTTACTTATCCCTCATCAAACAGGGAAACACCAAGTATGTGAATTGCTGTGTTTTAGTTTTACTCAACAAAAAGTAAAAAAAAAAAAAAAACTCTGCAGAACTTATAAGAATTTTCCAAACCCTTAATCTCAAGAGGACTTAACCTAAAACTTTTATATACATGTGTATTTATGTTCCTTTTTTAGCCCTGTGAATTAAAGTTGCTAGAACCTAATTTGGACACTAAAATGGACACTACACAACTGAGAAAGAACAAGATCAGCTATGCCTTCAAGTAATGTAAGAGACTGTAGCAAAAAAAAAAATACCAACCATAGTGCAGTTTGACGATAAATGGATGATTTACTTCTACTAATATATCTCTCTCCATTTTTGTACGAACTCTATCCCGAACTGCGGGGGAAAAAAGAAAAAAAAAGATGACTTGCATGAAACAGATGTATTTGTTATAATACAAATGGAGCAGAAATTAGCATATGGAAAGTTTTTGCTGTCTAACAAAATATTTTTCCTTGTTACCTTATTTGGTTTTAACTTTTAAGTCTCCCACAAAACACGCTTTCAGACACCAAAGCTCTACTTTGTTTCTTATCTGCCCCAGCTTCCTTACTGTCTTCATTTTTTTCCCCCCAACACATCCCATATTACTTTCAAGAAAAAAAGCTCACATCTACATTTCTAGGCAGCTAACTTCAACCTCTGAATTAACTAGCTGTATTAAATGTATATTTTCTGTCCTTTAAGATTACTTTTTCCTCTCCAATGAGTAATAGTCCCTATTTAAACACAACGGGCTTGCATCCATTAAAGTGTCTTCTGAAAGCCAAAACAGTAAGTCAGCTTGCTATGGCACCTACAACAAGAGGGAATGACTTAATTTTAACCACAGTAGAGTTCTAACTTAACAAAAGACAAAAGGAAAATTGTTTATGAAATTAATGTGTTTTAATATAATGAAAAGACTAAACAGAATTAAATAACGCAATTTTAGACTTTGAAAGAGTACTTTCTACTACATAATTAAAGCTATCTGGCTAGATTTAAAATACTTCTTAAACATGAGCTTACAAGTTACTTCAGAAAAAAAACTGCTGTCAGAGAAGTGTTATGAACTCACTGAAGAACATTTAAGATTTAAAAAAAAAGCTTTTAAAAAGAAGTATTCACAAGATTCATTTAAGAGATACAGATGCACTGAAAACTATTTTCTAAAATTCCAGTTCAAAAGATACACATACCTTTTAAAGAAGCTTTTTTCAATACTTTCATTGCATAAAGTTGCCCAGCATCAGGACCAATTATTTTCCGTACTAGGAAGACCTGGTAATATAAAGTCAATTTTTTTAATTACTGCTAAAAATACTTTATGTAAATGCTAAATCAACCTGAATAAAAAAAGTATTACTATGTCTTTATTTTTAACTTCATTAATACAGGCAAGGATATAGTATGTCCCTAGTCCCATCCCATTCCTCAAAAACTCCGAGGAATGAAAAGATGCCAAATATTCATAGTAAGTCTTTTTGCACAAGCAAGCTTAGTAATCAAATATGCAACTATCACAAAGCATTTGCAAACCTCCTATTTATTTCAGATAGCTCTCAGTGTTCTTTCCTAAGTATACACCTTTAAAGGAAGGGCAAAATTGCATTCCCTTCATCAGATTAGAGGTACATGCACCACCAAGCTCTCTGAAGTATTCAGATTGGTCATAAACTATACATTATTTCCTATATCAAGCCATTTAAGTAAGTACTTATCAAATAAATATTTTACGTAAATGTGTTTCATCATATTACTTTCTTGGAGAATGACAGTTCAGCCTGGTTTCAGCTTCAAGACCCAAGTCTCAAGTATGTGACAGGCAACATTAATGAACTCTGTAAGAGTGGCGAGACAAAAGCAAGGAAACCTCACCATTTAAGATTAAAGCACCCTTTCCCTCTGGAACAGCAACTCCAGCAGGTTTTTCTACTCTTTTCCTTGCAGAGGAGTTTTAAAGATAGATGCTATATAACTTGACACTAAGAAAAGCATAATGTTAGATAAAATAATGAGGTACTAATACCTGTACCTCCACCGCCTAATATTCTAACTACTATGTCTTTCAATTTACAAAACAGTTTGTTATGTGCTCCTGTTCCTAAGTTGTTGTTCTCATAATAGCAATTATTAGTTATGAGGAATGTTTGTACTGTAAAAAAAAAAAGTACAAGTCACAAGAGAATGCCAAGAGCTACCCAAAACTGCCTCTCTGATCTTACCTTATTCAGATTTCCATTAACACTAGATTTATTTACATATATACTTTGCTAGAAAGTATTAAATATCTAGAAATTATTTTAAAAAAAGATAATCAAATAAGCTTGTCAAATTTTCCATTCTAGAATCAGAAATTTATACATTGTCACTGACTAAATTGTATAGGGTTGGGAGAGGGGTTGTTTTTACTTTAAGCTCTGGTTAGAAGAAAAATGTCATCATGTTTCAAGGTTATCGGGCTTTTTGTTTTTTTTAAGTTTTGCCCAATGATGGACCTGCAGCACTGCTCTCCTATTATATGATGTCGATGCTCAAATAGTAAACGGAATAATTCATACACCAGCAAATAAGAAAACATCTGTAGATTAATACACTCACATTTATAACAGTAAAATATTAATAAGCATGTACAAATATTTTAGAGCTTAATAACTAGCAGCTTGTGAGAATGTAAGGAATTAATGTACTAGTTACAAATTCTAGCTAATAAGGACCAAAATAGCTGCCACTGAAAACATCTATTTAATTTGCAGACAAAGTCTCCATAATCCCACAACTTGCGGAGATGCAATGATCAGTTGTTCAACTGTAAAGCAAAATCAAGGTGGGCACACGTTGCTCATGGTGATTTACCTGAGCGAACCAAAGATCATCTTCAGCAGATCTGGCACTGAAGCCTTAAAAGGTTATCAAAGGCCGAAGAGAGAAAGTCAGTAACAGACATGAGGTTTAGCCCTTTATTTCTGTGAATCAGTTTTAAATCCTGCACAGATGTCAAAAAAGCCAGGTGGAGGATGGACTGTAGCACTGTACTGTGCTAGAGCAAACAAACTTTGAATTTTCTAAACCCAAACGGAGATCCCTGGGAAGTAGGAGGTGGAAAGAGAAAACAAACACCATGAAGGCAATAGCCATTGATCTTCATTGTTTGTTTTCTCTTTTCAACAGAAAGCAACAAATATTAGATAATAAGAGCTCTGCTCAGATGTGCAACAGTCATCATCCAATTCTTACAGCTGGCTCCTGAACCAAGTACTGCCAGGTTTCAAAAGCTCCAAAACTGACGTCTCGCCAAGCTGGTGGGAGTCTGAGCAAGAGCGCTCCTTAGGCTGTCAGACGTCTGAACTCTGTGAAGTAAGAATCTGCCCGAGTCAGGGCTAAGATGTCTGTACCAGATGTGCTGAACCCCAAAATAGCTTAAGACTTCTCAAGTCAGGAGTAACAAATGCACGGAGCCTTTTAGCCTTTGAAGATGAGAAAGTGTATGAAGGAATTGGCAACGAGCGTTACCACGTAAGAAACGTTCCTAAGCTGTAAAACATTAAGAAGTATCTTAAAGTCTATTTTCTAAACTATTACTTATTCACAGAATGCCTTCCTAATGTCTAATTTCTTCCGCCCCCCCCATACAACTCTATGTAGAGGTTTATTCCTGCCATGAGATAGACCAAACCAGCAAAAGAACAGGAAAATGGAAATATACGTAAAGCTGATTGTCTACTTTTTATGACTTGCAAAAGATCTAGTTTAAGAGTCCGGTTTTAAAAAATAAATTAGCTTCTTTTACTCTAGGATTAATATTTCAACTAACGTTGTTTCAAACTAGTGACTAAGACATCAGATTTTTAATTTCACTTCTGCAGTGTAACACCAAGTGGCATAATATAAAAAGAAATTATTGTAACAAAAAATTGCAATTTCTTCTATATGCTATTTGAATAATTGTTCACTTGGTGTCTTTTAGCTGTAGATCACTTTACAACTACAGCAAAATAAAAAACCTGAAATAATCTGGGTAATGTTATTTACTTTATTGTTTATTTGGTTCAAATCCAACTACCACAATCACTCTTCTTCTGTATCTACATCAATACGGATGTCGTGTATTGAAAAATGCCAAACATTCAAAGCACGTCAAGTACCATCGTTAAAAGACGAATCACCATCTCCTCCAGAAGTGTCTGTTGATGTCTATTACACCACTGGTGCCTCCCAAGCACCAAGCTAAGCTACAGAAGATGTGAGGCAACCTATATGGAACAGAGATATTGCACATTCCGATTCCTCTCTAGATGCTGCAATAAAGTCTTGAGGCAGTTGAAAACACCATGATTTTATTTCAGCTAGCCATGGCATTAGGTAAACAGAGCTTGTCAACACCAGACCTGCTGCATAAAACCCACCCCTAACTCTATAACCCAACTAGTAAAATCCCTTCCTGCCGGTGTCGTTGTCCACATGAAGCTGCAGATACCAGTCCAGATGAACCACAAATATGCCTCTCTGTTCAGTTAAAGCAAACTAACTTTCCACGATAGACCTCCTAAAATTTGCTACTGACTGACCCTTCTGCCTAGAGACTGAGGTTGTTGCCTCTCCATGCCTGATACGATTTGGTGTCCTGCCATAAACAGTGCTCCCTTGGCACCAGAGCAAGATTGGAAAAAGATGAAATTTGTCACTATCTTTTCAAACATTCTCAACAACTCTGCTACAGCACTATCTTTCTTGAATGTCTGGACAGGTCTATGGAAAAAGACGTTGCTTTTCCTCTAAAAAATGTGAGGTCAGAAATGCTATCATAGTAAAAATGAAAACACACACACAACCCTCCCCACCCAACTGCAAAACAGGATGGCTCACTTCCTCCTAAACAGGGCACTTCCCACAAGCCTATCTACCTCTACGCAGATTTGTGAGGCTTACACCTAACCTGGTAGTATCACAGAAACAAGGGAAGACAGACAAAGCAGGTTCAAAGTGGACATCAGACAAAAACAAAGTTTGTTATCTTACCTTTCCAAATGATCCCTGTCCAAGAACTTTAAGTAGTTCAAACTGTGCTGGATCTGCTTTCTCACATCCTTCTTTCACATGGTGTGTAATAGGAATTTCTTTCACACTTCCTTCATCCTATTATTTCAAGGCAAACAAAATACAACAATGCACAGGTCTGAATTAATCAACTCTCATTAGAAGTGCACGTAAATGCCTGCTCTTGTTTTGGTTTGGTTATTTTAATAAAATATTTGAAATTTTAACAAGGCATAAAAGCAAGCTGTTCAAATGAGGAGCTTTCAAATCCATCCTTTCTTAAATAGATGCATCTAAAATTTCAAAACTGAAGAACAATTCTCAAAGAATGCTCATTTCCTTTTGTCATAAATATTACAACTACAGCAAAGATGAATTTTCTTACATGAAAGGAATAAATGTACAGATTTTTAAACCAAGTCTAAGATGATCCTTCTGTGCTTCACCTCTGTTTTAACAGCCTTTAGTTTTCTCAGCAATTACTCTTTTCATCTTTCCCTTTCCTGAAGTAGTCTTAATAAAAGCTAAATTGAATTTCATCATTTTAGGTAATTATTGCTTTCCACAGCACCAAATAATAAATATGGCCATCCATTTGTAGCTAGAGGAACATGCATCGTTTGAAGAGCATATAAATAAGATATGAGTCATCTTAAGAACTCTGAGAGTTCTTGCCTCCAACAGAAGACACAGAGCTCTGGTGTGCAGAGCTCATGGAAAGACTATCCTGTGCGAAGACCTCCTTCAGAAAGCTGAGGGTAATTCTGAGGTAGGTAAAAGATTTAGTGTTCTGTTGACTTTTTCCTGTTACTCTTGTCTTTAGCAATGCAGGACACAGCAGCTACAATTGTGAAAATACAAACATTCGTGATGAAAACAAATTGGATGATGTATTGCAGCTTTTATGGTGCAAGAGAAGTTTCTGTGAGCCAGAACAAGCACTCTTGAAACTAAAAACTACGTGCCAAGACCTACAACAGCAACCTCAGCGTGCATGTAGAAAAGGAGTGGCACCCCCCAGCCCTATCAAGAATACCAATGAACTTCTTGTACACAGCAAATACAGCCCAATCACAACAGAAAATCCCATCTGATTTGCAGTACTTTGCTTTTAGCATGCCCAAATGATTATTAGCTGTCCTCCTCTTCAGGTCTTCACCGTGAAAGCTTCTCTTAGCAGAGACCAGAAAAACACCCTACCAACCCACAGCACGTTGCCATCCCTCAATGACAAATATGAACAGCACCAGAAAAAGACCTGAGCAATTGATGACACAGTTGGTTTTAGGAAAGAACACCATTCTATAGTCAGGTTGACTACAGAAAGTCCTGCTGCCCAAGACCATGCATTAGAACTTTTAATCAGAGTTATCAGACTTGATACAGAAGTATCTAGATGAAAATCTCCAGGTGAGTTTACACAGAAATTCAGGGTAGAAATCTGATCATCTAAATGTATACATACTTACTGCAATAATTAAAAAGGGGGCAATCATCACTCTGCGTTAACTGTCTATGCCCTAATTGCTTGCTTTGTCCAGAGGGGGAAAGAAAGCGTTCAGACTAACATCTTGGTATATTCACAAACTGTAGTCCAGCTGTTATTGCACATGAGCCCTTTCCCCTTTCCTATATCTCCTATTTCATACTCTTTCTGGAAAGGGCCTGTTTGTTCCACCTGCTTCCCATGCAAAGGTAGGTATTAACACAAAACACTGCTGGATAACAATGTTAACTCTTATTTCACACTCTAAGCTACTTTATTTCCCTCTCTGTTCCCAAAAAACAGCTGACATACACTGATGATACAGCGTATACATCCCAACTTCATTTCACCCTCCATCTTGTTGACTATGCATATACATATTCATAACAAAAAAACAGCTGACATACACTGGTGATACAGCGTATACATCCAACTTCATTTCACCCTCCGTCTTGTTGACTATGCATATACATATTCATAGGAAAGATGCACATATCTTTTCATTTTTATTTATTTTTTTAAACACATGTCTGGAATTTAATGCAGGTAAGAACACTAGCATTTCAAGTCATCTGACAACAGATGAAAGCAGCAAGTCCTCCAGTTATACACCAAGTTGTACAACAGACTTAATGGCTGGTTCTTTCTATGAAATATGTAAATACTCTATTTAGAAGCCTTTTTACTTCACCATCCTAATTTGTGTTCCTTAACACTGTGAACCTTTGCCTGAAAAAAGATCTTTAAGAGTTCACCTGCTTGCCTGTTTATCACCCACCTTGAGTCATTAGCCTCTGACATCACATGTGGTTGCTGCGGAGACTGAGAGAGTATTTCTAAATGTGAACTGAGGAGAAAAATGTTTTCCATGCAAATAAAGAATAATTTGAGATGTATGAAACAAGTTATTTTTTAAAGTGTTTTACCTTCACAAAAGATGTCTATATAATTTCACCTACTTAACCATCATTAAAGCACTAAAAATTAGCATGACTGAAGTATAAAAAGATCTCTGCATCATCAACAAGAAATGAGCAGGTAAAGAGTTGAACAGATGTACAAAGCCAGTTTCATTTTCATTTCTAGTTTGGCCTCCATGAACTGCAAATTTGGTTATCTGATTTTGTGCTCTGCTGCTTGAGCAGCAAATCTGTTTGAGGCCAGCTCAGGTACCAGCTCCCACTGCGTCGCCTTGCACAAGAGGTAACTGTTCCCAGCAGGTTCAACAGAAGACAAAGCACCAAAAGAAATGCCGCAATTCGTTATGGCTCTGTGCCATCTTACTTCATTACAGCTTGACTGGTACGTAGCTCCAAGCACCTAACAAACAAGCTCAGCAACATCCTTCTGGTTCAAGTACAGTGAAAGACTGAGACAACCCATTGCTCATCTTTCTTTGCTACGTGCAAGACAACTATGACGCTGACTATTTACTTACTCCACATCAGGAAATGTCCAAGCACCACAGGTTTCTACCCCCAAGAGTTTATTCTCCAAATCACTTACTTTAAAAGTTATTATTGCAATACAAAGCAGTGGTTACAGCTGGCAATAAGATCTACTGGATACCTTCTTCCATGACCCTGTTCAAAAAAATACATGGACGGGCATGTTGAAAAATGATGGCCAATTTTTCCATGCAAGGTCAGGCATTTCACCACATACAGCATTAGCCTAAAGTTGGGCCCAAGATTTGGCCAGCCAGAACGCTGATCTTCAGCATATCCTAAACATGCACATCGCCAAGGCACTGGACAAAAGCCACGCTCAACGGGGTATATCTGGGATATTTCTACATAAAATTCAAATTAACATACTGGTATAAAAATTAATTCTGTTCTAAAAC